TAACTTACCTTGTGATCGGGATAGTTTCTTGGTGTTGAATGTGACTGAGGCATAGTTAACTTCTTCGTCTGCCATCCTTACAGTCTTGTTGAGATTTAAGCGATTATAGACAGAGAGATACTACCGCGTTACAGCCACAGAGCAAGTTGTTTCTTAACTCTGTCACACCCATCTCATTTAGCAACTTCTGCTTTTGGCTGACAAAGTAAGCTGTCCATGTCTTTCACTTTATTACACTTTATTAGGTACACCTTGCTAGTACCAGGTTCTTCATGGCGTAGATTCAACAAGGAGCTGGAAACATGACTCACAGATATTGGTTCATACCGGCATGATAGCATCAGCAGCACAATTGCTGCAGATTTGATGGTATTTAATGAATGCACAAGATCGGTTTGATATCAGGTGCTTTGGTTCCTTTGTGAGTGGAATAGTTCCAAAATATTCTGAAAATGAGAAAATGGGCTGTATCTAAAGATTGGAAAACCAGCAACTAGAAAAAAACATGTAAACTAAAAAAAATGAGAAAAATGTCCTTTGGAGGTATTTTTCACAGAGTAATGTTTTAGTTGATTATATTCTGATTTTGTCCACATGACATGAGGGACCATTGGCCTATCTAGATCTTTATAAATATAAAGCTCTAGGTGTGTACATGAGAAAGTCTGTGAATCAATAACAACTGATAGCTTTTTACATCTAAAAAATACCAAACATATTATAGTTGATACTAACAAAATAAACAAAAAGATATATACAAAACTAAAATGGATATAAATATATAAAACTAACCAAAACAAATAATTCATTCTGAAAATTAACTGAAAAACACTGAACACAAACTGGAAAAACAACATATGTAAAACAGACAACATGAGACTCATTTCATAAGCTCGACTTCCCGTTCCTCACTGCAGCTCTGTGACTGACGTTGACAGGGTGCTTTGTTAATCACGTCCAAATGTAGTGGCCAGCTCTTCCTCTACCTCATCTTGATCAAACATGTTACAACAGCTTAAACAGTGTTGTTCTTGGCTTAAAGAGAAGAATTCGACATCAACCTGACAACATGATTTAAAATAACAGAATATGGATATATAAGAATAACTATCACCACAACATGAAAATATCAGAAGACACAATAAAAAGTATCAATGCCATTGATTAATGGTCTTTGTTAGTGGTTGATAATCAATGGTCATGACAATTTGCATATTAATGATCAAAAACTGACCTCACAGCCCATTGTTCTTCAGTGGCTATTTTCAGTCATTATGCAAATGTACTGTTTATAAGTTGGGAAAACCTGCAGTCAGCTGAGACTGAAGATGTCACTTGGATGAGTGACGAAAGGTTTCTCCCACTGAAAACGTGATGATCCAGATGAACCAAATCAGTGTTTTAGGACAAGAAACTGAGGTTTTGTTGGGCCAGCAATAAAAACAGCACAAGGACTGTTCACATTAAATTACATTAACTTTGTTCATTGCTATTAAAGAGTTATGTCCAATGCTGTGTCTCACATTACACAGATACATGTTTGGCATGCTGCAACTGTTGCTTTTATGAATAGAAGAGCCTCATTTTAAACTTTTAATCTTCATTGTCAGTAGATTCAAATTGCGTACGTCTATGTGAAATCATCGATTTAGATTTTAGATTCATACATCCAACCGTTTTTCTTCTTAAAGGTACAATGTGGAAAATATCCCTGCTAGCTGTTAGTAGGTTGCAGATCATAGTCAGCTGAATTCAGTTTTCCTGCACTTCTCAGTTGAAGTGCATAATCCTAGCTACGGTGGCTGCTGTAGGACAAATAAACTTGACTGCTGTAAAAATAGTGTAGGTTGTTACTCCTCCGTTTACCTCAGTTATGAATGTGCTGAGTCTATTTACTCTGGAGGAGGCTGTGAAACTTGGTTATATGAGTCTGCTGAGTGTATCTTTCCTCTGTAAAAACAATCAGACTTTCTTAACCTTTACTTCACAATTACTCAAGTATGAACTCTTCTACTTACCAACTCTCTTTCACATACAAAAAGCAGCTTGGTGAGTTAAATTTGCCATAAAAGTAAATTACAAATATACATTTTAAATACAAAAGCTTCATGGTTTAAAGTTTCCTTACATGAGACTAGAATAATCATGACACAAAGATGAAATTTCAAATACATGTATGACTGTTATATGTACTGTATTTCTTTGTCTCATCATACTTTTTCATGTTGTGGTTCAAAAAACATTAATCATTATGAAAAATGTGATCCTTACAAAATAAAGGAACATTTGTGTATTTTTAAATTGTGAAACAGCCTGTTTAACTAATTTTAAACATGATAGAGAAGTTTGCTGTGTTAGAAGAAACAATGCTGAGTTGGTGTGACAGGACAGATTATTAGCAGTTTTAACCCACAAAGTTAATCTACAGCTTGTTCTTCGGCTGCTAGTTCACCTTTCCTCAGCTGTTGTTTTTTTGGTATTGACATTTTTTTTCTTGCCATGACTGAAGACCCTTAAAACAAACACACAATTTTCCTTTTTAATGTAACGATTTGTCAATATCTTTTTCAGTCTCTTTGCACGTATGTGGGTGCTCAAGCTTGTTTCAGCATGCACTGCATGAAAGACAGTAAAGGAAGTCGAACAGATGGTAAGTACGGAGGAACAAACATTGATCAGACACACAATAGAAACTATTATAAACATAGGAGGATGTGTAAACTACTTTTTTTTTTTATCCAGGATTATTTTAGCAAACCTAAACCTAATTACTATTCCAGCTTAAACTGCAATGTACTATACTATGCACCAATCCTCTGCATGTTCTTCCTTATTTACTGTTGCCTGGCAGCTCCATAATTAAAATTATCTGTCCAATAGAGCCACTATCCCTCCACTGCACATGTTGTTTTATCGTCACACTGGTCAACATGGTTGTGGTTCCGATACACTACAGCAGTGATGAAGGAAGAACAAGAAGAATCGTTCTTCCTAAAAATACTGAAAGCACTTCCTACGCCAACACGTACTGCCTCTGAGGGCATTTAAACACAGTGTACTGTACTTGTGTTTGGTATCGCCGCTGCAAAGCAGCTGATCATAAAACTCTACAGCTGTTCTCTATAACAAATCGTAAATCTTCATTCTAGTAAAAAGAAAGAAAGAAAGAAAGAAAGAAAGAAAGAAGGTGATGTATTTTCATAAAATGTTTATTCAAAAACATAAACAACACCACCTGTTGGTTATCAGTTGTTAATGTTATCCGGCCATATCACTCAAACTTCAATGAAAGAGCATTAAATTTAGGTCAGAATAATGAGTAATATCATAAACTAAATATGTGATATTAGCAGTTTTAATTTACGTTTACATAAATAAACAAATGTATACAAATATGTAACTGTACATGCTTGTGAATTATTTCAAACTGAATTTCTGCTTTTACGGTGGCCCATCTGCAGTACTTTGGCAGCCCACCAGGGGGCCCCAGCCTACACTTTGGAAATCACTCATCACTCATCTACATCTTAACTGGTTTGGACCCTCTTATGCTTTCAAAAGTGCTTTAATTCCTCTTAGCATTAATGAACTCATATGTTAACATCGCACAGTTGCTGCTGGTTTGTCAGCTGTAAAAACAAACATCGCAATGGAAGAAAAGAATTCATGAAGCTTTGATGCAAGGAATTAGATTAAATTAGACACTTGAGGTGACTGCTTTTTTTAAAAAAAAAAGTAAAACACATTTATAATAACATTCACATGCACCTCAGTAAGCAATATGTTTAATGTTTCAAAAGAATTTCCATTTTAGATCATGTTTTGGATGAAAAAAAAGCTTTTGATAAATTATTCCCATCGCCTCTCACTTTTATGTGCTTAGTCTACACATACAGGTATGTGTATAATAGTGAGAGGTATGATATAGTGTTTAGTGATTATAGTGATATAGATGTCAGGGCATTTATTGAATCAACACTTGTGTCTGTTATTACTGTGGGTGACCTTGGTTCTTTGTTTCGGGGTTGTTACCTGCTCAAATGTATACGAGTCACATGTTAAACCATTTATTTATATCCTCCATTCTTTTAATAGATCCGATGAACTTCAGTAAAATTTCAAATCGTTTTTCAAAGTGAATTTTAAGAATCAAGCGCATCTTAACAAGGTTACAGACGATAACTCAAAACAAGGACCTACAAGATTGTCTTGGGATTAATGAGTAAGTAAACTACCATGCATCTAAACGAAAAACTTTGTTTAACAACTTATTTTCAGATTTTGCAAGAAAAATTATGGATGCACTCATTTATGCAGAGCAAACATTTCCAATAACCATTCTGAGCTTCTTAGGTATTGCCCTGTGCTGCACTATTACCGTGTTATAGTTTAACTAAAATTACCATTGTGCCTGATAGAAACTAAACTCAAGTTAATAACGTTTCTCTGAAAGTACCTGAATCTGTGTGTTACTTTCAGCTGCTCCCTTCTCACAAGGGTTGTGTGTTTGATTTGCTAGTATTATTTTGCATCTCCTGCAGGAAACCAGTGAACCTCCAATTGAATGTGTCAGCAATTAAAATATAGAGCCACTGAAAAGTAATTGAATCTAAAATGTAAAACTGAAAGAAAACAAAAATTATTAAAACCCCCACCAAATACAATATAATAACAATGTTGAGAAACTGGACTTGATTTGACAAAGAATATGTATAAAATACAAAACATAAAACTTATATGAGCTGAACTTCCTGTTCTTCTCTGCTGCTCTGTGGCTGATGCTGACAGTCCAAATATAGAGGCCAGCTCTCTTTCTTCCTCATCATGTTACAGCAGTTTGGAAAGTGTTGTTTTAGCTACAACTTTTGTTTAAAACGTTTGTTAAAAAGAGAAAGTCAGTAACAATATGGCAATTATTTGATTTCAAAAACAGGTTAATTTACTTCCTTTTTTCTTTCTAAGTAAAATTAAAATACTTTTAATGGCATGTTTTTTAAATATACAAAAATCATAAAGCAGTCTTCATATTTCAATATATTTATATATTTACTTATATTTTTACTGATATGAACATCATTATTAATATTATATTTTCAGAACATCCAGGAGTCATGTGACATTTTACTGCAGTATTCAAAGAGTTAAGGCTTTTTTCTTGCAGATCCATCGGTTCTTCTCAGTACAGCTCACTGATTTAAATCCTTTAAATACAGAGATTGCACACTGACCATCAGTAGGAGACCCTGAGATCCAGGTACTAAGAAAAATCACAGGTTTGATGAACAGGAATCAATATTGACATAAAATAAGACATAATTATTTTATCCCAAATTTTCAAAAATATTTAAAATGATTTTTGATTCAAGGTGTCTCTTACCTGTTAGTCAGATTACTTCCATCCACCCACTTCCAGTTCCCATCTTCAACTCTCAGACCAATCCAGTATGCACTGTTTCCTGAATTCCACCAGGTGTCGCCACTGATATAACCCTGAGAATAGAAAGAAAGTTTTCAGAGATATTAAATAGATCACATATCATATCAAAATAATATATAATAAATATTTTTCCTAAAACATTGTAGCACAAATTATTTTTAGATTAGAGTCCCGCTGGTTTCTCATTACCTTTTCTGTTTCATTATTCAAAACAGCCAAATCTGAAATCTTTCCTATACAGTCATCTCGAGCACCTTTCCAGGTTTTCTGCTTAGGAGCTTCAGGATTATTAATTGCATAGCAGCCTGACTGGAAGGAAAGCAAGCCAGCCTGACAAATTTTACACTCTCGGTCTGCAAGGATAGAGATCAATTAATAAACATCACTGCATATTTATATTACATTTGGTATTTTTGTACTAATATATTTGGAACATACTGTTATTGCTCTTGGGACAGTAGGCATCAATGCTCCACTGAGCTCGACTAACATTGAGCTCATTCCATTGTGTCGTCATCTGTTGTATTATTTCTGTTAGGTTTTTCTTTTCTGTCTCCAGCTCCTCATTTTTCTTTTTGAGCTCCTGGTTTTCTGCCAGTTGTTTTTTGAAGAGAGTAGAGTCTCGTGTCAGGTTCTCCAGCTCCTCATTTTTCTTTTTGAGCATCTGTGTCTCTTCAGTCAAGTTTGCGATC